CCAACCGTAAGAAGTGAAGCAGCTGGAGATGTGCACGGGCTGGAAAATTTGGGCTCTAGCAGCCCAAAACTGCCAGCCCAGTTCATCGCTGCTCACCCAAAAATTTGGTCTGACAACCGATTTTTCGGCCTGTCAGACTGATTACCTGCCTGGGCAATTTTCTCAGCTGAATAGGTTTTTCGCATCGGCCACCCTCCGAGACATGATTAACTAGACACGATTGACTGGCCAGTTGACTGTTATCTCGGCCGATATTTGGAACACTGTTTTAAAGCATATTTGATATTCCCTCCGTCCACAAAAGTACATTGTATTTGACTATTAGCAATGGGCCCAGTAAAATGAATAGGCTAAATTATCATCATTCCTTTCTCTTGCTCCAAAGTGCCCGTGCATGTTTTCTTTCCAAAGCGGCAACTCTGCTGATGGGAGTAATAGTTTGGGGGCATAATAGGAAATGTGGATTAAAATGTCTACAAAATTGTGAATAGAGCATAGTGAAGTACAAAAAATGGCCAAGTGACCTACATTTATTTGGAAGGGAGTAACTGATTAGCTGTACACACTTCTCTTTAGCTTCTACATGACCATTTTCGTGGCTGTGACACTTCTCCATGCCAAAGATATAGCAGGAAAAATGGTTCCGGTGCCATGTACATCCTTTTTTTTAATATAGAACAGTGGGAGCCTTTCCTGCTGTAAGTTATCAAAAAAGAAAGTTGATATTATTTTCTGGAAAGATACATGTGGCAACTTGATAATCTGCCCTAAATCCGAGATTCTGTTCCTGTAATGCCTTTGATGAGCATCTTTGCCATTTCATGTTGTGATTTTGTCTTCTTTTGCCAAAAACTAGGGCAATGGTCTCAGGTTGGAAATTGAGTGGTGGCGTGTTGTCTATTGCAGGTTACATATCCTTGGTCCTTGAATGTGGAGAAGTGGCTACAAAACTGTGAACAGAGCACACTGAAGGACAAAACGTTAGAGCACATTGAAGGTTACATATCCTTCGTCCTGTGTATTGCCGCTGGAGAAGTGGTGAATGAGTTGGTATGGTTCTCTGACGGCAAGAAGCATGTCAGTGGAGGGCGCAAGTTTGCCGGTAGCGGCAGATGGTGGAAGGCAGGATGGCTGCTGCGAAGGGATGCCCAACCTTATGTGCCAGTTGGGCGTTATCGGGTGCCAGCGATCTTTCTTGAGCTGCGTCTTGACCCACAGTTTGTCTACATCGACTTACGTTGGCTGTGTTTGCTGGCTTAAGGCCATTCTATATATTCTTGCACCCCAAAGCATGTTTTGGAGAGTCCGCTTTGGCGCCGAAGTTTGTTGTAATTTGCAGGATACTAGATCCAACTTGATAAGTGTGGCAACCCTAGTTTTCCCCCCACTGCTGGCAGCATGTGAGACCAGCTCAGCTGATGAGCTAACATTGAGAGAGTTTATGGCCAGTTCAGTGGGTGGTGGCTCTGGTTTGCGTGTATGCATGTATTAGAGTATGTATTATGTATGTAGCCTGGATGGCCTTGTTGTATCTTTTTGTTGTTGTTGAGAAACAGCCTTGTTGTATCTTTTTGTTGTTGTTGTTGTTGTCGTTGTTGTTGTTGTTGTTGTTGTTGTTGTTGTCGTTGTTGTTGTTGTCGTTGTTGTCGTTGTTGTTGTTGTTGTTGTTGTTGTTGTTGTCTGTCTTGCAAAAGAGCAAGTACTATTAAGCAAGTGTTTGATCAGCTTCATAATTGCCTTTTCTTCTGTAGTTGCTCTTATACTAAAATTTTCACCATGGTGTCCTGTTAGCAGTTTGCAGACATGAGGTTCTCATCATCTTGCTATGCCATGATACTGTTATGCCAAAAAATCCCTGTATTCCACACTTACGACACATCTTTTTTAGCCTAGCAAAAAAAAAAAAAAACTCCCCACTTGGGTAAAATTCCATTATGCTACATGTGTATGCCTACTTTTCACGAACTTGCTTATACTTACTGATGTTCAACAGTCTTGTAAAATTTAACAATAAGCTCGGCGGTCTTGTCCATGAAATTAGCAATTCAAGTGTACAAACCTTCTTGTTTATCAAGGGCATTGTGGAATGTGGCAACCTGTGCATGTGAACTTTCTGTTTAACTGCAGTTTACCTTGTTGGATGCAGGTTCTTCTCATGACCCTTCAAAATGCACCACCAGGTCTTGACTATGACCGCGATAGAAAATTCTCAAAGGTAGTACTGGTCCAGTTCTTGGCTTGTGTCTTTTGGTTATGTTTTAACAGCAATACCTAGTTGTCTTAGGAAGCCACTTCAGTTGTTATTACGGAGTGGATATATTACATTACAATGTTTACCTTTCTAATGAAGGCTTTTCAGCTGTAATCAGTCTTTGAAGGAAATGGTTGCAATGTGCTTGGTAAAAGATCAAACTAAGCGGCCAACAGCTGAGAAGTTACTAAAGCATTCGTTTTTCAAGAACACAAAGGCCCCACAGCTGACAGTTAAGAGCATCTTAACCGATTTGCCCCCTCTGTGGGATCGTGTGAAGGCACTCCAGGTTTTGCTCTTGTGCCATCTTCTTCTTTTACTTGACACTGGAAACAATATCTCAGTAAATTACTGTGCTTTTTCAGCAAAAAGATGCAGCACACCTGGCTTCATCTGAACAGGAAGCACTTTCCATGGTTTGTGATATTAACACTCTCTTATGTTATTTTTTGCTTTTGGTGCAGTTCTTTCCATTTGAGGCCATGAAATTCTTCTTATTTTATCTACTCTATGCAAAGTGAACTAGCAATCTTGATGATTTTTGGAATCACAGAACAAAATAAGACTCACTAGCCAACCAATTTTAGTAATTGGGTATAATATGACCATTGTTTTGACGATGAAGACGATAGCTAAAACATGTCTGAGAGACATTGGTTTTGTATAATTAACCAAGTTAAGCTAGAAATCACTGAAAGATGCTCACCTGGATATGAGCTGTTTCGTTTCGCATACAAACAATTAATAACATTTTATTCAGTTTGCATAGAGATATCCTGCCTACTTGCAAATTAAGGTGCTTCTGTTTGCTGTAGAGCTTTCCCTGCAAAGTGAACTTGTCCAGTACACTGTGTTGTAAACAATTCATGAAGACAGTGCAACTTGTATTATTTATCTGTTTTAGAAATGCACGCATGCAATTCCGTCCTTCAATCCGCTTAGGTGACTTTCTTGTGGTTTGTTCAACAGAGTGAGTATCAACGAGGTGTCAGCGCATGGCACTTTGATATTGAGGATCTCAAGGCTCAAGCATTACTGGTAAAGCAGTAGCTTCCATAATTTCTAAGAATTTGCTACATGTCTACATTGCTCACACATTTTTGAGGCGTAAGTGACTCTGATATGACCTTACAAATAAGCTCCCAAATTTATGCAGATTAATGATGACGATCCACCTGAATT